ATATTTGCAAATGGTGTACATATTACATGTACCTTTATATATACATGTACATGTAATGCTTTTATAAGTTACAATTCAGTTTACAAAAAAAATTAGCGGATTTCAATCACAAGTAAAAGAAAATGTTTTTTAAGGAAATACATTACATGTATTTGGAAATAAACAAAATTGAGAATTTATTTATGAGATAATTTCTCAGAAATAGAAAAAGTGACGCAGAATTTGTAAACATCCCATAAAACATTAAAATAATTTTGTAGGTTGAAAAGTACTAATCAATTGATAAAAACCCATTATTGTTTTACTTAAGGCCGCATACCGGTATAACCGTTTTTTTCCAACCATTACTACGGTAAGTGTTGAATGTTCATTCCCTAACCTGATTTGTAACCCCAAATTGCAGACATCGACCCCTGAAAACGCTGAAACATATTCAATTTCAGATAATGTTGTTTATGCTTTCAAATTACGATTATGAAACTTTTTTTTTTCTGTCCTAATGTCCTAATACATGTACATCCTCTACTCCCATAAAGTGTTCTTCATATTTAGCAGTAAGCACACAAACCCTTGTACACGCCCATATTTAGAAGTGTTTTCAATCTTAAAGCACAACAAAGTTGAAATCACGTTCAGTCAATCTGTACAATCATGGAGGAGTAATGAATTGTATTAAACTTTTTGATTGAAACCCCACATGGAACCCCGGCCCTGAATAATGGGCACGTTTAGCATCTCCATATGAGGCCCCATGGCCCCCAACACAGGGGGAAGAAAACGCCAAGAATTCTGGCCGAGGCACGGACATCCGCCTTCAATTTGAATGCCTGTAGTAGTCAACTCTCTTTACAATGCTATGTTGTTTTTTAGCTTGAGTCGGATGAACTTGTGTGGAATTTTGTTTTGAACATGATTTTCAGTACATGGTCAACAACCCCTGTAATTGCTTAGAATTTATTTAAATTGATAGAAAGTTGCTTTTACTTTGTAGTTTTGTTTAAATTTAGTTTCATTTAGGAATGGAATATGAGTCTATATTTCCTGGTTACAAATGTATTTATGCTTGGTAACTTGAGTATCACTATTATTTTATGTAGGTCCATATATTAAAGGGAATTTGCAAACACCGAAAAAACAAAATGATAAAATTATCACGAAATACATGTACCTTATTGGATTGTTAGGGAGTGACAGTCTAAAGCATCCTGTAAAATCGTGGCTCCTAGTGTGCTGACATTTTCAAGATAAATTGTATTTTTCCAACGCTGGTCGGCCGACCAGCATTGGAGAAAACTGGCTTTTTTCCCAAAAACTGCTTCTAATTTTTCATATTCAGTAGTTCTGCATTTTCTTTGCAATTGATTACACACCTAGAAGGGGTACAAACCTGCTAGACTGATTCTCTGACCTTACAATTCCCCAAAGTCTACAAATTGCTCCATTAATCTTAGGTGGGGTCAGGGAACCGAACTACAAGAACTTGATTGTTTTTCTTGGTTTCTCCAGCATCTACAAACCCAAAAAGTGAAACAAGTCAGCTTAACAATATTTGCTATAACATACTAATCCTCCAAATCCATTTATTTCTGAAAATTGAAGGAAAAGCAAATGTTGTACATTCCCTTTAAGAGTTCGTCCTAAAGAAAAAACACAAAGCACAAGTTGAAAAGAAAAGAAAACAGCTTTCCATTCTTTCCTTCTAATGACCTTGCCATATTTTTGTTATTTTATTGTTGGAAGTCTGGCCTTATACAATCAAACGGAGGGCATGCTCCATTAGTTTTCAGTTGCACCCATTAAAATGATGAAAACGTTCATTGTGAAAGGCTTATTCTAATAAAACCCAGCAGCACTGTTCCTTTTGCTGTTACCTTGATTGATGTAGCTGTGTTACAACCTAGACAAAGCATACAGCAAGGCTGACTTTTGGGTACAAATTGTACTAACTGAAAGTTATGTACATGTATTTGTAAATAATATAATGACGCAGTAACTCATGGAAATCTTCATTGTATCTTTGTAAGCCCTTCCCTTTCCCCAACAATTTTGCTATGAGCTTTCCTGAATCTCTAAATCTGGCAAAGTGGAGTTACCAATTTTTGTATACACATCCAAGGCCGAGAAGAAGCGAACTCATGAAATTTTCCATACCATTCGCAAGACCTTAATTCGGCCCGTCCCCCCCCCCCCCCTCCCCATTCCACCAATTTAAACCCAAATGCCCTGGTCGTTTAAATATTTTCTTCAAGCTTTCCCACATGTGAATGCCCAAAACTCCAGCACTGTTGGTGGGTAGCCCAGTTGTTTCGCATGTAAACATTGGATATGAAGCCCATGTAAAGCCATGGGTTGGACTGTATTTTCCTAACTGGAAATCACTATAGAATCTGTGAGTGAATCCTGCTGGATTTAGTTTAGGGTCAAAGTTATCATTAAAATGAAAAAAAACCCACTTATTTCAGATCTCATGTTTCCGTGAGAAATGTTCACAGTAAATTGCACCAGTCATAATCATGTCAATCATATCTGTTCAAAACAAAATTTCCAAATTCAGTTTCCCGACTTTACAGTTTCCAGGATTTCGCTTGAGTACTGTTTGACGTACTTTGTTCAAAGGACTCCTTATTTGAGAGAAAAATCCTGTACAAGTATTCAAAAGTCTTCACGGGGTTTGCTTAAATGTGATGTTACACAAAATCCTCTATTTATCACAATGAAACTTTGAAACATTGACTGAATGCAGTTTTTAGACAATTTCTGACCCATATTTATGACATTACCCCCAAAATGAATCATTAAAAGGTCCTTTGTGTGTTCGCTTGTCTCTTTTGCTGTGCCGAGTCTGGATCAAAGTCCTTGTTATTGTAGAGTGAGTAGCATTCCACATACCATACAAGGCATTCAGGGTGTCATCCTCATCAGTATCTTGTCTCCGTCCAGCTAAAAAAACAATTTGTGTTTCTCTTCACATCGACACTAGAAATGAAAATATTTTTATTCCATTTTTTTTTTAAAGCAGTCTGCTATGGAATAATGGTATTGTGTCATGGTTGTGTCATCAACCAAAATATGACTTGGATTATTTATTCATCAAAACATTGATTAATTTTTTGTTTTGATGTGAAGTGGTAATACACTTGTATAGCAAGGCTTACTATTAGTTAATATTCGGTCAGAAAGAGAAATAAAAAGCAATTGTTTAAATTGTAAAAGATGAATTTGAGAAACGTTGATTAATTTTTACCCAACAACTGTCTGGTTCACGGAGGGATCCAGACACCGCCATGGGTAAGACGAGTCCGAAACCCGACCGTTTAAGAATTCCTTCTTGAAGGCATTCAAGGAATGCTTTCACGATGAATTTGGTTAACCTTTCCTCCCGACATGATGAAAATTACGTATGTGTACAGTTCACGGGCTGAACCTTGATGATATAAGTTTTTCTGCCGTCACTTTTGGGATTGGATTTTTTTTTATCGGAGAACCCGGGCCAGCTGACGTTAACCCTGGATCAATAGGGGTTCTTGCCAAGATTTATACCCTAGGGGATCCGTGCCGAATCACTGAGTCACTGTTAAAATAGGAGAGAGAAAAAAAGCCTGACGTCAACGGGCGCAGTCCGTCATGTACGGAAGGGTAAATAAATCCAGTGTGCTGTGATTTGCTACTAGAGGCACATGTACATTGTACATGTACATGTACATGTACATGTATGATCGTGGTTTGCTGTGTAGATACTTTGTACATATGGACTCGAGAATTCTAAATTAGGAATATACATGTGGAATTTGCCTACTGTTCTTATAAAAGCCAGTTTGTCCATGCTTTATCTAAAAAGAAATTTCATTTCATGAATTTGTTCCTTCTGAGGAATTCGTGAGGGAAGCTGTGTTTTAGAATGAGAAAAGAACCTACTACATTCTGCACCCTAGTTGGGTTTTTTTTTCTTGGGAAAAAAAATTGCTTTCATTATGCACTACACATGACAATTATAGTGTGTGTCTTTCCTTTTTGAATGGGACGCTCCTAACACAAACATTGAAACCTATTGTTTCCTTCACTTGTTATGGGTCATTTGAAAACTAGAAACTTAGCTAATGTTAGAACATTAGCCATTTACATTCAGATATTATTTTGAGGACGCCACTTTCGAGACACATGAAAAAAAACATGTTTTTAGTTGTTTGGGAGATCGATTTCCGCAAGTCCGTTGGGAAAATGGGGCTTTGTGGCCTTTTGAAAATTCAATCCAATTCAATTGTATTTATTCTCATTGTGTAAGACATGATACTCAAGCCACATTCTGCATTAAAACATCACATAACATTAAAAAGATAAAACATTTAGAGTTTGGTCTGAAGAGTTGGTCACAGGGGGAGTGTTCGGATGTGTTGCAGTGGTCACCCTAGAGATGATTGGCTCCAACAACAAGCAACCATGATTCAGGAGGGCAAATATTCACGACCAGTTGTTGGCAATAAATTTAGCATGGTTCAGCAAGGCCATGGGAAATACAGTGTGTACATGTACTTTCTGAAAGTCATGAATGTGAAATGATAATCTTATGTCTTTAAAGGTACAATGTCATGTATACAACATGTGCAAACAAAACAAAAAATAGAACTACACAATTTTTATGAAATACATGTACCTTACTTGACTGTAAGCATTAAAATAATTGTCTCAAGCGTCCTCTGAAATCATTGCACCTAGTGTGCTATCATTTTCAAGAAAAGTAGAATTTTTGTATAAATTTCCAATGATTGTCGCGACCATCGTTGGAAAAAAACCTCCTTTTTTTTAATACTGCCCCCAATGTATCAAATTTAGTTAGTCCATATTTTGTTTGCAATCAGTTACCCATCCGTGAACGGGTGCAAGCCATCTTGGTGACCTGACAATTCCCCGACGTCTATAAATTTCTCGGTTTCGTCTGTCTGAAGTAGGGTCAAAGCATTTCACTTAAAGTCATTTACTCAATTTTTTTTTGTATTTTGCAGACTGCAGATCGATACGGCAGCAGACCGCTCTCAACAAGCTCAATACCAAGCAGGTAGGATAGTATCCAATCATTGCTTTGCATTTATGCGCCGCCCACATGATCCATGCCCTATAAACCAGCCCTTTCAAATCACAGAGAAGGGAGAAATTGTACTTGTTCAGACTTAAAAAACAGAGTCATCATTTGGGAAAATTTGGAGAAATACCGCAAGGATTTCCTTCAGAGCACTCAGATCACTGTAGCTCGTAAGCCTGAAGATAGTTAGTTTTGAAAACAAAAATGGGTCAGTTTTAGAGGGTGGTGGGTAAAACCATTACGAAAGTTGTGAGAAACTCCCTTGAGATCTAGTCTGGAAAAATAAAACCAAAACAGTCCATGCATCAGACCAAGGGGGATTTGAAACTGTAGTACTTTCCCTACTTGGCTTCCTGTAAAAAAAAGAAATTCATTGCTTTAGACTATTTCTATCTGTCCAAAAAGTAACCGACCAAATTATTGTTAAAAATCTTACTTGGTTTAAAGATAGTAATGACACTTATCTCCCTGTGAAATTATTCCTTTCTGGGAATGATACCAAGGATTCTGCAAAAGTGCCCTAGGCACTGTAGCTTGCAAGCCGCAAGAAACCTGTAGAGAGAAGACAATGCAGATACGACAGTCTTAGAGTTTGGAGGAAAACCCCAGAAGAATATTTTTTGGGAAACCCACTGAATCAGGTAGGGACTGAAAACCCGATCCACATGTGGTCTGGGCAGGAATCGAACCCGGGCCATAGAGGTGGAAGGCGAGGAAAAAAACACTGTGCCAACACGACTCACGGCAGCACCATAAAATTAGCAGTACTCCTTTCCTGAACGGTAATTGGGCTCCTCCTACCATATTCTATCCTCCTAGTTCTTCCTCGTCCAATTTACACCCAGAAAAAAATGAAACAACTTTTCTTTCCCTAGATATGGTGACAGTTCATCAACGCCATCTTCATCGGATCGCTATGCAAGCCGCACCGGGTCAGGGTCCTCTTACACCCGGGACAGAGACAGGGAACGAGACCGGGACAATGAGAAGACATCCTCGGGAACACCCTGCCTGAACTGCAAAAAGGTGGTCCTGTTGTGGCCTTTGTTGGCTTTTCGGCTAGTTGCAGAAAAGCCTTTATAATAATAATAATAATAATAATAATAATGGAGTCTTATATAGTGCACGTATCTACCAACAATTAGGTACTCAAGGCGCTGGAAATTATGTATATTATTAAAGAAAGGTAAATAAAGTTTATGAAAAATATGAGACCCATTATGTACCAGTAGCAGCTTAAAAGGGTTTCCAAGGTGCTGCGGCGCATATTGCAGCCACTGTCAGAAACACCGGGGCAAACCCCTTCTCTTAGCGATAAGTGTTACTGGGTTCTTTAACGTGCATTACACAACACACGGGACCTCCGGCTTCACGTCCCATCCGAAGGACGAAGCAATAATGGTAAAGTGCCTTGCTCAAGAGCACAAGCACGTTGTTCCCACGGTCAGGATTCGGACCTATATACCACGGCACAAGAGTTGAACACCGTAACCATTGGACCACAGCACCCCACATTGTTCAGATTTTCTGAATTCACTCTTCATATGATACATCATACAGTAACATCAGTCTTGTGATATGTACTGTATCCTGAAAACAGTTGAAATATTTTCATTGCACATTATTTTAATCAAGCCATGGACTTTTCGTTTGTCTTTAGCTATTCGACGAACAGAAGTCGCTGGTCACAAAGCTCCAGGACCAGGTCAAAGAGCGTGACCTGGAGGTCGCCGAGCTGAAGATGCAGGTGGAAAAATCCCAGCAGAAGTCTGATCGATTCGACACAAAATCAGTTGATAACGAAAAGAGGGTAAGGATGATCATTTTTGTTGAATTGTTCAATATCAATTCGTTACTGTTTTCATGGACTGACACGCACGCGCTGTGTACTGTCAGTTTTTGAAAACCACGTTATCAATAATTTCGGTTTGACGTTGACGGTGTGACACTGACGCGTTATAGAACAATTTCGGTTTTCATGAACTGAAACGCAAGCATGTGACATAAATACAATTTGGAGAAAAACGCTTAGCACAAATTTGGTTTGACACAAATTTACCCTATCTGTACACATGTGGGCTTACACAAAAATTTAATTAAAAACATTTTTACTGGTGAAATTAAGTCTGGTTTCTGTTCATGAAAACGAAAATGTGTGGAGTACCGGGTGTTTGTTTGTGTAAACCAAAATAACGCAGTTCTCACTCACGCGTGCAACCGAGAGTCAGTTCATGTTGTCGGTGACAAATTGAGCAAAATAGTTTGTTCAAAAAGTTTGCTAGTTTATGTCAAGTTTTATTTCTAGCCTGCTCTTACGCAAAGTACCATGGTTTTTGATTAGAAGTTACATTGAGAAATGAAACAAATCAATTTTTTCATTTTCAGAATTGTCCATGAATAAAAATGACTTAAAGAATGGTTCCTGTTTTTATTTTAATTGACCAGCTTCCACAATCCTCTAGCACACTGCTGGTGCAGTTTTGTGTGTATTGTATTTTGAAGTGAAAGCAGTCAGGGCCGTCAATTTCCTGAGTTGAAATCATCTAATCAGCTGTTGTTTTGGTTTCATTTCAGGAGAGAAGGGCATTAGAAAGAAGGCTATCAGAATTGGAAGAGGAACTCAAGGTAAAAAAAAAATATTTAAAATGAAACAGAAATTAATTTCCAAACCCTTTGGTTTATTTGAACGTTAACTCTGAGATGAGCTTAGACTGGTGACATTGCTAGGAGGGTTACATTCCCTTTAATGTTCATGATGTAGATGTTTGTCACCTGATTAAACTAAAATATCTCAGACCATGTCCAATTAAGGCCTCCAGAGCTGTGTCTGCTCTAGTAGCATTTTCCTGAGTAATTGCTCAGGGGTCATTCTTGAAAATGTAGGGTTCACTTTTTGTTTTCCTGTCCATGTTACATCTGACATCTATGATTTTATAATTCTGATGCACTCCTTAATGCAGTCGTCCTCCGAGAGTGATTATGAATAGGTAACTTACCTATCCAACAAATAAGTCACTCTTAATGATACTTGATTGGCAAGTTAATAAAGTTCCGAGGTAACAGGGACAGGAAAAATGTCACACTTTGGACCCTCAATTTATAGAGTGATCCACATGTAATTGTGGAAAACCATAGATCCCTATGATCAGAGATTCGGATGTTTGCCTTAGTCTGAAATACATAATTAGTTATAATCACCACACAGAACAATAGCTCAATGCAGGAAGTATGGGCTCCATGCGCCCAAAAAAATAGAGGGCGCTTTCTTATCACTGAGAGCCCCATGGACAGGACACACTGCGTGTGCGTTCTGTACTGGTTCGCGCACCAAGTACGCATGACATATTTATCCTGAATGTGCACAAAGCTAGCTAAGCCATAGCGTCTTCGCGCCCTTTCAGGTGTCGTCAGTGCGCGAATGCGTTCGAATTTCTCCTTCGATGGTCTCACAGACTTGTCTCCTCCCCCCCTCCCCACAAAGCTAGCTAAGCCATAGCGTCTTTGCGCCCTTTCAGGTGTCGTCAGTGCGCGAATGCGTTCAAATTTCTCTTTCGATGGTCTCCCAGACTTGTCTCTGCCCCCCTTAACTATTAATACAATCGAAGTCCGCAATGTATAGACCAGGAACCAGTCTAGGTCTCCCTCAACTCTCCTTTTCTGGCTGTTGAAGGGGTACTTGTGCACGGAGCCCATAGATGGCGCTCTTAGGCCGACTAAAAAGAACCAGTCAAAGACACATGGTATGGGTAACACTGGTTAACACGCACATTCCATGGCACGGACCATGAACGACAGTTTTTCATCTGAATGTTCACAAACCTGTGGCATATAAGGTGGCGTCCGTATCTCTTGTCCAGGGATATTGTCTTGGTCTTCAACAATCGCAGCTACTTCGGAGCAAGCTGACAAACGATAAGCCATAGCTCTGGGAGTCAGTCTCAGACACGGCTCAAGTTTGACGGAACGCTGTCAAGAATTGGCACAATGCAGAAATGGCATAACCGTAGTCATTTGAAATTTGTCCGTTGAGCAGTTGCATAACCTGAAGTGACGAAATCATAAAAACAATTCTTATCGGTCCAATTTCTTATTTTTTGTTCTAGGCGATGGAGCAACTGAAGTCAGACAACCAGCGTCTCAAGGACGAGAATGGCGCTTTAGTACGAGTCATAAGCAAGCTGTCCAAATGATGACGATACCCCTCTCGCTTAGCGTCCTGTAGTGTTTTCATTTTACCGTTTGACGTTTTCATGTTTTTGTTGCCAAGGGAAATGGGGAAAAAGTAGAAAAAGGGTTTGAGATGATGCCTGGGAATGGCGCAACAGTAATCCTCACTAGTACAGAAAAAAAATCAAAGAAGGACTTTCAGGCATTCTGCCACTATTGGCATTTGGTAAATGAAAATAAATATTGTCACGGGGGGGGGGGGGGGGGGGGAACAGTCACTCTTTCTGGTATTAGACAAATCGTTTATGGTTTACACTGTGGCATATCGTACATTGAACTTTGATCCAGATGTTCTAAAGATTTCACTACAAAATTCCCCCTTTTTGGAACTATAATTCACTACTTTATCTGCCATGTTGAATGTGAACAAACTGAAGCCCTAATTATTGTCATGACTGTTGGCATTTTATAATTTGTTGGTGCTATTGCTCAAAAATTGTGTGTAAACAACTCAAGGGGGAAAAACGTCAGACAGATTAGGCAGTTTGGGAGAATTCAAGTATATGAAGCATCATCTCAAGCCTTTTTGGAAATGAAATAGTCAACTCGGATTGAGCGTTAGCTGGATTGTGTTTAAAAAAAAATTTGTATGTAACGTACAGGAGCATGGTGTGGAGGCTGCCATTTGTTCAAACAACTTTTAAATATACTTTGAACGGCATCAGGTTTTACAGATTCGCTTTTGACATTAATCTCTTCTTGAAAAAAAATCATGCAAGTCTTGCATATGACCCTTCATTTTAACAATTGGATGTATAAGAACAGCATTATCAACTGACAGCATTCTCAGCAGGTGGCGCAGTCTTTTTCTTTGGCATTATGCACATTCATGACTTACATACCTATTCTACTCGCAATTTTATGGAGAAAAAGCGTGAAGGCTTGACAAAACAGCATCTGGAAACATTAGTGAGAGGACATCCATGTCACTGACAACAGTTTACAAAACGGTCGGTGTACAAACAGTCTACACAAATTCACTTCAATGAAATCACCTTAAAAATGGCAGCCTCCTTTAAGCTGTACTGTCCAAAGGATGTCTACATCATAATTGATGATGTGACATTGACAGCTACCCTAGCTTACCCCCTCCCCCACCCCCTTCCTTCTCCACTACGGCAGTGAAGCAAACTTGGACACTGAGGAAACGGCATAACCCTTGAGACTTAAGGGGACTTTCCTCCCCGGGCTCCTTCCTGCAGGAAGTTGGATAATAAGTTAGTCACTCTCATCATCAAGGCACATCTCAGAAAATGCATGAGATGCAGATCTGCACCGTACAACATCTCTCTAGAACTCTCTGAAAAGGAACTGAACCTAAGAATTCGTAAGCCCTGGGTATTTCTCGGGTGAATTTATCTTGACATGTTTCAGTAGTCCAGTGGTACAAAGTTGGCTAGGCCCGACTGGCACAAATGGGACCTTAAGATTAGCAAAGTAGAAGATTAAGAGTTTGAAGAGTTACTCCATCGTGTGACAGTGGACAGGTTAAGCTCTTCTAAAAAATATTTTGAACGTAACACATGTCAACATTAACAATGCCCTGTGTCCCCATCAAATGGACACATAGCAGTGTCAATGGAACTTCAAATACGCTGAATGCAGAATGGTATTTGAGACACCCGGTTTCAGTTGTGCAGTAATGGTTAGCCTGAAACTATCAGTTAGCGACACTTGCAGAAGCTACCATTCCTGGCATCACAGAGCTTTGCTTCACTGCCGGATCAACCACCCCAACCACTCCCCGATGATTTCTAAATCCTCTTATCTGACTGTTGTGTTTTCCAACTTTTCATTAGAGCAGAGTTTTTCGGTAGCAGTGTAACTTGTACATAACCCTTAACCCCCTGAATCATGTCTGAGTGAACCAAAATCATTTAAAATGCAATGGGGAAAAAATAGATAAAAATTCAAAAAAAAAAAAAAAAGTTTGACGGAAACTTTAACAGAAGAACTTTCAACTGTTTATTTGTAAAGTGTACAGAAAAAAATAATGTTTAGCCTTTTTTTGTAGGCAGGGGAGAGTAACGTGTTGAGACCTCAGGTGACGCCATATTGCAAGTAGACTAATACTGTTAGGGGTTGTTTTTGGAGAGAGAATTTGAGAAGTTGAAGGGGTTTTGGGAAGAACCTATTGAAGTTCTAACAAGGCATAATTGTAGCAGAAGACATTTATCGGCCACAGGTTGAAAATGTGTACTGAAACAGCTTGTCGGTGCCATGGCATTGTTTGTCATTGTGTAGAAAGTCATCACTTATTAAAGACATCCCTTATTAAAGAATCTGCTGCACACCGGTCTACATGAACTTTGATATGGAAAAAGAGAATTGGTGGCAGAAGTGGGATCAGCGAGTCCTGCAGGGAAGTGCTGGCAATACAATGCATCCAAGCCAAGTCTACCATGAATGAGAGACCTGTGGTTCTGAAGTACAATTGTGCCTTTGACGCCTTCCGGCTTCTCCCAATCTTCACTTCTTTTCTTCATCTCAAAGGAGTTTGCATTGCGTATTTTGTTGCAGTGGGCGATAAATCATTTTGTTTTGGTAAGGGACATACCGTATTTAGCTTGTGTGCAATATATGGCATCTGGATCTTCGTTAACAAAACATAGATTCTATTTATTGTAGTTGTTAATCCTCATGCCGCAATGATACAGTAAGTTTTCATATTTTTTTTCTCTAGCGAAGTTAGATAGGAGTTTTGGATGAGTTAACCTCGGTAGATCCATATTAATTGGTTTCTCCATGTTCAATTTTTTTTCAATAGAATTTGTTTTTCTGCTGAAAGTTTTTGTAGTTGACGGTTTGATGAATGGAACTTTCAAATTTAGGCAGCCACTCCTAGGAGTAGAATGGGGAGAAATGCTCTCCCATCCTGTATCACTTCACAATTCAAAAATAAGTCAACTGAACAGTTTCAGTGTATCAGCAACAAACTTTAAAAAAAAAAAAAACATTTTCCGAAATTATAGTTTTAAGGAATACTGTGGCCAACGGATCCACAAATTGTCAAGGGAAACGCCTTTCAAGAGAATCTTTGGTGGAGAGAATTTTCAAGAGAATCTTTGGTGATTCACTTATTATTAGGTCACATGTACCTCGGATTACTGTAAAAAAAAAAAAAAATTGTTTTCGACAGACAGACTTCAACTTTTTTCCAGTGAGCCAAAAGGCCAACATAAAATTTGTCTTTGTTTCTTTCTGTTATAAAAACTTACGCATAATAGATTCATCCCAAGCTTATGCTGTATGGCATTAGTCCTTGCCTTTTTGTACTTTTGTATATTTGTATAAAAAAAAACAACAATAGATTGTATTTTAATAGGATTAATACTTCGGCCCCTTGCTAGCTTATTACTGGCTTTATTATTTTATAGTTTTTACTTTATACTAGCACCTTTAATCTGCTTTCGCAAGCTGTGTAGTATTTGTATTCCCTGATTTAAAGGAGCACGCTGTCTGGAAACATTCTCTGTTGTCAACGGAAATTGACGGAAATTTCAAAATGTATCTTCAGCTTAATTCTAACTCCCTTGGGTGTGTGAAAAAAAAAATCATATGAACATTAGAGATTTCAGGACTGTTCAAGTTAATTGTTGGAAATGTTGATTTTTTAAATTGATGTTGATTACCTTCTGATCTGCATGTTCCTCACACAAAAATAAGTTGAAAATGTGGAAACAAATTCTGAAAAGTTGGGAAAAAATGGTCACTATAAAGAAAACCTTTGAATTTTATATTTTTCACCTGAGCAAAGCAAAATTTTGTCACCGCTGCAAGAATTAGGGTGTTATAATGCAACGATGGTGTCAAGTCATTTTTCTAACACCACAGTGTAAGTATAACACCTTGCTCGTTTCTCCATTCTGTCGATTGTCCAGCATTCTGTCTGGGAGATTTATCGCCCCCAGATCTCCAGGCTTTTGCTGGCACGGACACCGAAAGATGACAATATTTTCAATATGGTGATAGCATGGTGTCTTGCTCTGTCTGCATCTCATCAACTTTGCACTAAGATGTAGACACTGCTCAAATGCTACTGATTATTCAACCTTTTGGGAAAACAACATACAAAGAATGTTAAGGGAATTGATGCAGCATTTGAGATGGTAGCAGCTTGAAGTTTCTTTCGCAACTATTTAAGCTTGTCGGTTGGCTAGCTTTTTACCCCCACGCTAAAAAAAAGTAAAGGGGCACATTTTGTGAAACCTTTTCAAAATAAAATTGATTGTTTTTCTTGTGTAGTTGTTGACATTGCTGAAGGTACACGTCTTTCATTTCATAAAACTGTCCGTTGTTAGACTTGCTGCTTGGGTGGTGTTACAACACACTTGGCTTTTAATGCGTTAATATACACTGGAAAGTTTACACTCCGAACCTTGCTTTTTCTAAAGAGAGGAATCTTGAAACATGCACCAAAACTTGTGTAGACATTAACAAGCTGAAAGACGTAAAATACTTTAATTTCCCTCCTTCTGTGTCCATGCTTCATGTCTTCCAACAAACGAAACCTGTAGTAATTATTATTTGCATGCACACACAAAATTACTTATTTAATTACAACAGTTACCATTGTAATTTAAGTCTGTATTTTTTACCATATTTATTTATTGTAGACAGGACATCAGTAACAACTTTGCGATTGCAGATAAATATTGATTGAGTGGAACAACTCTATTGTACAAGCAACAACAAAGTTTTAAATACGTTGGTTGAGTGATTAGACTTATGCTAGTCCTTTCATTGGGTGTTTTTTGGTTAAAATATTGAGAGGATGTGTTGTAATATTGTGAATACTATAATAGAATACCAGCTGGATTTTTTTCCTTAATACAAAAACTTTGGATTGCCATATCAGAGTGTTGATTACCAATAGTTGAGTTCTGAAAAAAAATGTATTAAACAATAACTTGGAATTGGGCTGATGTTTTTGTAGAATGCATGAAACAGTTGTCTGCTAACCCTGGAATCCGAATTAGCAGACCGCTGTTTGAGGCGCCTTTGTTTCTGGGAGTAGTTCAGTTTCAAATTTATACCTTGTGGGGTGTTTGAAGTCACTTCCTTTGGGTATTATTCAGTAGTGCTTTTTGAGTAAACTTACACAAAATATTCCTGCTGTGGTGTGAGCTAATAATATAAAGGATTGATGTTAAAAAATAAAAAAAATACTGAGGTAGAGTGTTGTTGACAAACAAAAAAATTAGCTTCCACTGTTTGAGCGTTTACTGTAAATCTAAAATTGGTTAAATTTAGCCATTCCAGTTCTTTCTCAAACCGGTGTGATCAAACCAGTTTCATTTTCATTGCAGGTTTTACCAGCATGTAGTGTTCATAAACTGTTAACCGTTACATAAAAGAAAAGCAAGGTTAAACATTGTAATCCGGTAAACGTCTGGTGGGTTCAAATATTTTGAACACGTCACTTTTTATTGATTGAATGTGTGACCTGATAGCGGCACATAGACTAAGCAAAAAAAGTGAAAAGCTCCGTGTTAGTATTTCACGTGGAAGCTGCAGGAAAACTTGTAGGTTGGTTTACTGTGCCTTATTTGGAATTGTTATGCAACATGTTTATGGTTAATCCATATGAAACAATTCAAAGTGAAATTGACATTGCCATGAACATTTCACATCACTTCATCGACTGCTTGTTGCATCTGTGTGATGGGAAGCCCACATAAGCTTCAAAAATTGCTGCAAAAGAACTCAACTTCTTATCAATTGTCAATCTAAACAGAAAAGAATAGTCTAC